GATATCTACTTGAATGGTAGATAATTTACGGTACAATTTTTGTAGAAATATAAATATGTATGACTTAACATACATATGTACGTAAATAGATAACCAAGGAAAGTATTTGACTTTGCTACATTTCAAACAAGGCACGTTCCTCGCTCACGTGTGCTGATCGGCCTTAACGTCATGATTTTGTATATGTATACATAAACTACATTCATACAAACATATGTATATATATACATTAGGTTGGCTCTTATTTTTCGAATCTGATTCCTTTTTGGGCTACCACTAACTTTAGTTCCCTTACATCAAAAAAAAAACCTTATACAAAATTTGAGCTCAGTTGGATAACGATAAATCGTGTTCCTCGATCTCTAAAACTAAACTAAAGCAGACAAATTATTTTAGCTCGCAATCAACGTGAGGAGAACAATGAGTTATTGTATGATTGCGGCAACTTAACGTGTCTTACAGGCTCTCACTTAAAAATTCTCTTAAATGGATGTTGCTTTTAATTGAACAGCCGAAACTAAATGTAACTTAATGCCACGTCGAAATCTACTTCATTTTGATTTTCTAAGTTTTAAGTTTCATTAAGTTAAGTTAAGTTGCCATAATCAGGCTTTCAGTGTACATACCGCCCATTGTATTGTTATTTACATCATATCATCAATAAATCGAAGCAGATTGTTGGCTCAAATTCGTCATCCCTAACTCCTGCAAAGGCGGGCTAGAGACACAAACAGAGTTCCGCCTTTTCATCCTCGCCAGCAGCAGTAGGCAATCAGGTGATCGTGCCAAATGAAATGCCTTGTTAGCAATACCAAAAGTTCTCTACAGGCTCATCTACTCAATGAAAGCAACGACCTGGCGGTAGCGCCTCGAATTTTCCCAATCATTGCCGAACGAAATATCCAACGGCAGAAGTGCTATAACTGGTTGCGGACCAATGCATTGAGTGCAGCTTAGCTCTTGCTCCAGACACGTACCTTTCCGCTTCTCTACCTATTTTCCTCCACATAGTCAATGGGCTTGAGGATAGAAAATATCTCGCCTTGGAATTCTTCTTGATTGGTGCTATAACGGCCTAAGTGTTTTTGGAAGAGTCTGATAAAGCCACTTTACGCCTGTTTGAAGAGAAGTCACTTTCCGTGTTAATACTATCAGGGCTGGATCGGTTGCGTCGGTTCGTACATACTTACAAGACCGAACCAGGGAGGACGTTGTCGGCTTGGCATATTCTCTAAGGGAAAAGTGAAGCTCATTCCCATTATCTTCGATATAGACTACAGATCCTGACCCACTGTGAATTTTGGAGTCATCAGTTAAGATCCGATAATGTGTTAGCCCGGTTTCAGTGCCAGCGTGCCAGCTGAATTAAGCGAATCCGTCGTTCGAAAAAATTAAAAAAATTTTTTTTTTTTTACTTTAAGTTCTAAAAGGTACGTTCTCTGCATATTCTATTGTGACTAAATTTCACAGAGCTTAATTTTAAGTTCAATGGATTGCAGACATTTCTAAGAGCCACCTTAATGTTCAACATGCACATAAATATGTACATACATATGAAAGTATGTCGCATGGTCTCAATACGAAAATCAGTTTATTTTATTGCACAATCACTTCGTTTGGCTTTTCATATGGACAGACAGTTTTGTTATTTTTCCACTTTGGAAAGCTGTTGGAAATGACAGAAAATGTTGAATAAGTATATAGTTTAGTATTTTTTTTTTTGAATAGGGTTTATTTTCTTTCTTTCTTGTCTATTTGTGTATTGGTAAAATATAAGACACATTACCAGCAAAAGGCGGCTAAAAGCTGTTAAATAATACTTCGAAAAATAGTAGCACAATTACTATGGCCATTAGTTACATAAAACTTAAAAATAATAATTGTGTTAATTGTCGATGAGCGTCAAAGCATTCGCAGTTGGGTTTTTTGTACATTAACAAAAAAAAACAAAAAAAATATTGATGTGTGCGCTTGAGCGGAATGCATGACTTGGTCGTTAAAAAAAAAAAAAATCCCAAGCAATATTTAAACCTTCTACAAAAACATTAGTGACTTTAATTTCTAATTTAAAGCACATTTATAATGCTGGCTATAGATTAGTATTCAAAAACTATATAAATTTCATGGCTTCAAGCCAGTTGTGATGCTTTGTGTTTTACTTGCATTACTGGTCATTGGCTGCGGTTTGGCAATGTGCTGTTAATCAAGAAGCAGTGATGCCACCTAACTGTTTGGTATGCAATTTATGTTTTCTGTTCACACAAATACATACTTAAAAGCAAATACGTGCATATGTGTATGTACATATATATTGAATTTTATTTTATTGTGATGCCCGTTTACATTTGCATTTAATGAACTCATAGCACATGAAAATAATTAGTAATGCATATTACCATTGCACAATTACATCAGTTTTAAAAATCTATAAATATAATAAATTTGTAGCAGACCGATGGAAGGTCTTTATTAGAGCAATAAAACCAAAATCAACCATTTCTATAATTTTTGTCTCTCCGTCTCTCTGTATGTTTGTACGCGCATCACTCGAAAACTAATGCATGAAATTGAATTCAGTTTTCACCGATGTATTGCAAGAGGTCTAACTAAAGTATAGAAGGAACAAAAATAGAAAGTTGCCACCTGTTTGAAAATTGCAGTTAAAATAAATTGCTAAGATAAAGTAAATATTGCAGTATGGCTGCCAAAAAAAAAAAAGTTTTAAGAAGACTCACGCCGAAAATGAGCAGCGGCTCAGTCTGCATGTTTTCTTCAAAATCAAATCTGTCAAATCAAAAGTAGTAGAATGAGTACTAAAATCCGCTCCTAAACAAGGTAAGGGTTAATTCGATTCAGATTTGATTTGAGAGGGGGCATTAAGGTTTTCTTCAGCCAGAAAAGCTAGAAATGCAGTCTGGCAGTAATTTTACCATAAATACTCGTATAATGCCTAGCATTTCTCTGCGACTAGCAAGGATAGTAAGATTTTAATATACCAATTACACAGAGCAACACTAATTTTGGGGCGGCAAATGCTAAAACCATTTTTCATTGGCTTTTTTGTGTTGATTACGAATCCGTAGCTATAAAGTTTCCATCATCTCCAGATTTCGAGAAAAATGTGGTCAAGGTGTCGAAAAATCGCGGTTTTGATAATGTTTCAGTAGCTCTAGCGAAGAACTCAGCTGGCCATTTAGTCAGTATTTTTGGCAATTTTTTGCTGACTGAGTTGTACATTTTCATCTATATAAAAAAACATCAAAAATACTTCGTGTGGAAGAAAAACGTAGGAAAATAAATGACACCGTCAGCAAAAAAAACCGCAAAAACCAACGGTAAATCCTAGCTACTTCAGATATACAATTTATCATTTATATTACAATAGGGGTATTCTCGAAGTCTTGCACGAAATGCAAAAATACTATTCCAAATTTGTGGTAGCATGCATGGGTAGCAAGCAGCGAAATTATGTATCAAATACAATAACAAGATACAGCACAAAAAAAAATTAAATGAGCGAGATGAGAGCAATGAGAGAAATATAAGGCAATTCCAACAACAAAACAACTAGCACAGGGTTGCATTTATCTTGCTATGCTATTTTGCAAAATATATAGATGGGTTTCGACGTTGCATATTTTGCAGCGTAGGAAATTTTGTTTCCCATGTATTTTGTGGTTCTGTGTTTCCAAGTTATGCAATCCATGCAATCCGTGCTACGTGCAATGGCTTTGCAAGATTTGGAGAATACCCCTAATGTAATGGGCTACAAAATTGTGCCGTAACAGAATTTTCGTCGAATTACAAATATTATGCTATTGTTTTTTTTTTTTTGTTTTTTAACCGACTTCAAAAAAGGAGGAGGTTATCAATTCGTCGGAATATATTTTTTTATGTATGTTACCGCATAACTTTTAACCACGTCAACCGTAATGTAATGCAATGGATAAGCGAAAATGGTCTCTAGGCGGCTTGTATTGCGTTACTCGATGATACAAAAATAAGTAGGTACTTTCCAAAAAAGTTAAAAGTTTTTGCTGGGACTTGTTTGCACGCACACTACAAAAAGCTCTGCCGAGGTTGGCCACACCTGCTGTAAAACCCATTGAAGGTTACGTAGAAAAGTATTAGCTACTGAATAAAATAAAATTCAGCTTCCCAAATCTGCCACTGAAATTTTAATGTACTTTTTTTTAACACGCTTATACATATTAGCTTCACCTGTATGTAATAATTTCAAGCTGTTTCATTAGATTTCACAGAAAGATTTTGAGTATGCCCATTTCATTGAAGAATAATAAAGCGCAAGTTTAGAATAGCTGGACTTAGGTTGATTTTTGGGAATTTTTTTTTGAAGGTGTTGCTCATTTTCTTCATATCATCGAACATACTTCCTATGGCAGAAAATGACTGACATTGGCAACAAAAAAAAAATTTCAAAAATCAACTTACTTACTTTAAGCTTGAACTTTGTGACATTAAAATTGAGTAAACTATAAAACTGCATATCCAAAATCTTTTCAAGAAATCTAATCAAAAAGTTCGAAATTCACCAGCGGCCATACTGGATCCGTCGTTTTGATTTTTGCAATGCTGACAACGGATTCGTAATAAGCGACCCGAAAACTCCCTAGTACGAAATTTCAAATCATTTCTTTAAAGCTTTGAATTTTGGGCGTTTTTTTGGATTTCGGCCGCACTGTGCGACAACTAAATTTTTTTTTTGATTTCGAAAAAAAACAGGGGTATATTTTTGCCTATATAGAACAATTATAGGGGGTGGTAGCATTCAAATTCTGACTTTACTTTTTTTACATACATTTTTAGACCAACCTAAAATAGTTGCCCATAAAATGTATACCATAGATTTGTACAAAAAAAAACTATGAATAAACTTAAGTCTTGCCATATTTTTTCAATTTAATGTATTTACTATTAGTTCCTCGAAATTAAGACAACTTGAACTGACTTTCTCTTTTGTCTACCTCCTTTCAGGTTTATCGCACACTGCCAATTCTCCGGTGGATTGACCGCCACATGTGCAGCGGCTGTCATCTGCAACCGATGCAATTGCTGCCAACAAATAAAAATATGCAACACCAAAGAACGTGAGCTGATAGCAAATCAAATAAGCAAAAACAAAAACTTAGTGCAAATTGTGAATAACAACGAAAACAAAAAGAAAAATGTTGGACAGTGTAAACGAAACAAATACAATGTTAGCAACAACATTCGATACGGCAGTGGCTACGGCCAAGTCTGCTGCTGAAGATGCAAATAAGACTGCATTTATTACAGCAAGCCCCACAACGAATTCATCGCCAACAAAAGCAAAGACATTTTTCAGTTGGTTTCGAGGTGGCAACGCAAAGTCGCCTAATAAAACCGACGCCGACGCCAACGCAACCACAGTAAAAGGCGTACAAACACATAAAGACTGCAGAGTTAAGGGCGAAGAGGCGTTCCAAGCCAGGGGTAACGCCAAACAATTACCAACAGAGCCACCGCAGCCGAGCGCGGCAGAACGCGACGTTACGCTACGTGAATTTCGTGGCGTTCAAAGTTTGCGACATTTGTGGAATAAGCGCATCAGCGCAAGTGAGGACGCAACAAGGCGGCAAAATTCACTTAGCACCAGCAAAGCAAGCAAATTAACAAAATCAATTGGTTGCTTAGTGAGTGCAGCGCGCGCGCAAGCAGAAGCTACGCAATCGACGAGTGGTAGCGAAGGCGAGGCACTGCGGCAAAAACGCGCGCATAGTTTGCACGATTGTACGCAGGTGGGCGTGCAAGCAGAAGAGGCCGTTACGACAACGGCGGCAGAGGAGTCGGAAATCGACTGTTTTCATCGCGAAAAGGATAACTTTTACAAGTACAAAACGGCCGAACAGGCAGCAAAACATTTGGCGCGCGAGTCGCGTGTGCGCACCAAGATGACGCGGCGCGTTACAGCTGGCATTGTGAGCAGTGAGGCGCGCGACGAAGATGCACACTTTCCCGCCGTGAAAGCAAGTGAGCGCGGTGAGCGCATACATTGGCTGAAGCGGCAGGACATGGTGTCGCGACGACGTGAAAACACAGAAATGACAGTGGCGCATACGCCAATTGGCCGTGAAAAAAGTACAGCGGCAGCGCTGGCATTATCAGCTGACGACATTGTTATCAGCGAGACGGCAAACAACGCAATGATGGCAATAACAACAGCTCCAACGGCCTCTGCTCAACGTCGTAACTGCCCTGCTGATTTTAGCGATAATAATATGCTTGCGGCCAGCAATTCGCCGCGCAATTTGGCCAGTCGTAAGCGAAACTCTCAACGCGAAGCAACAAACACGTCGTTGGCCAAGCGCAGTAGTACTGATTCAAATAAATCGAATTCGCAAAGCTTATCAGCCTCGGGATCGCTGACAAGTGGTACAAATACTGGGGGTCGTAGCGTGCGTCGCACCGCCTCCTCGTCGTCAACGTCCTCAGCGTCCGCACGCAAATATAGCTTCAAGACACATACGCGCACATATCACGCGCCGCGCAAAATGAGCCAACGCGATAGCGGCACTGTTGGTAGTGGTGGCAGTGGCGGTGGTAGCAATGCATCCGCTATTGTGCCAGGGGGCGGCAATATAGTGGCGAAATTGACGCAACAATTCAACGAAATGATACAGAAAGATAAAAAGCTGCTGGAGGAGGTGAAGCGCAAGAATGGTGTTTTGTTGTCGCGCGGTGGACATGTTTACAAAGTGGTGGAGAATCCGATCGCAGCGGCAATGGAGGGTGGCAGCAAGCGCTCCACGTTGAGTAGAAATATGGCGCGCGCGCAGGATATCGCCACTTTGCGTGCGTCAACCGTGCAACGAAATATAATAAAATTTGAGGGTGGTCCAGAGCTGGATAAGCCAGCAGTGCCAGCGAAAAGTGCGCAGGTACTGCAAAAGCTGCGTGAACTTAACAAAGCTCAGCAGCACAGTAATACCGGCTCAAAACGGTTGCTACTAAAGCTGCCCACATCAGCGCCACCGAACGAGCTGCAACTGAAGCTTGAGCTGAAGAAGGCGCAGTTGGCGTTGCCGCTATCGCCGCCGTTAGAGGTAGTGACGGAAGAGTCCAAGACGCCGTTGGAAGCTTACGAAAAATCGATCACGATCGGTCAGTTGCGAGGCGGGCATACCGATACGCATTCAACGGTTGACGTGACGAGCGCGCACATTGCGGAAAACACGTACGGGTCATGCGATAACGGTAGCGTAAACTATAACGGCAGGGAAGGCGACAAAAACGCGATTAATGAGGTTGATCAAAGAAGTGAGGACGACGATCAGCAGCAAGCCAGTACCGTTGCAAGTGGGTCACCTAATGAAGCAGTTAGCAGCAGTACTGCGACATTATTGACAGTTTCTAACGCTACTGCTGAGAATATTGAGGCAAAAAATGTTGATGAGCAAGCAGTAGCGAATGAAGAAACTAATGACATAGAAAGCAATGCGATTTGCATGACGACGACGCTACCGCCGACGCAGGCAATAGCAATAAAAACTGAAGCAACAAAAACAATTGTGGAGTGCAACGCAAGTGCTGAGCTTAGCATTCCCACGACTGTGGCGACATTGGAAACATCAGACAGCGGTGGAAGAACAAAAACGACTGACGCGATTGCAACATTAGCGATTGCAACGCCACAAACAAAGTCAACAAAGGAGGCAGCATTGAACGGTAATGCCACTACCGACCCTCGCCCAACCGCCATCGATTCCAATGACGATCAACTTGATGCGGCCAACGAAGAGAAGGCGAAGCAACGCAAACGCAAATACGCGAAAATTTATGAAAAATTCCGTTTTAGGTCGCCGTTTGTTGGAGGTCACAGCAACAAGAAACTGTCATCGAAGCAAGCGGTGAGTGTAGCTGAAGTGAACAATGAATTCAAACGACCGGCGATTGAATTGGCTGAAGACGCGGTAAAAACAATTGAAATACCAACAACACCACAAACAAACACTTCGACAAGCACACCAACGTCGACGACACCAGCATTAGCAACACCCACATCAACGATTACAAAAGCGACTGACAATAAAACGGAGGGCGGATGCATTTCAAATGCCGACACAACTGTCGAGCCCGAGCCCGAGCCCGAATCGCGGTTACTAGATGCGCTCGAGATCATCGATCATAAACTGCAAGACCTCACNCACGATTACAAAAGCGACTGACAATAAAACGGAGGGCGGATGCATTTCAAATGCCGACACAACTGTCGAGCCCGAGCCCGAGCCCGAATCACGGTTACTAGATGCGCTCGAGATCATCGATCATAAACTGCAAGACCTCACCGTAGACACAGATGAAGAAAACACTGCCGCACTGTTGCTTTCTCCAGACGATGACTTTGAGCAGCGTGTGCTACCAAATAACTCCTTCGTTTTTCAGGCCAGCACTAAGCAGGTGGCCAACAATAAACTGATCGTTGCGCAAGCGGTGAATGTTACACTCGTCAACAGTATTGAGGGCGAACAGCTGATGCTGGAGCAGAAGGAATTACAGCGCGAACAGTGCGACTATAGCGAGCTGGTGCGTCCACTGAGCTTGCAGTTGGAACAGCCGGTTTTAGTAGCACTTGAGGAGGACAATCGGGGTGAACAAACTGAGTCAGCGGAACCAATGTACGAACCGATCGCTGCACAGACTGAGGGCACAAACGCTGAAGAACATTTGAGTGCAACCGAGCTGCCATCTGCGAAGTCCTTCCTCTATACCAGTTGTGCGGCGGGCACGGAAAAGAAGTTGTCCGATACTGATGAGACGTTGATGGAAGATCCAACGTCTTTAGTGTCCTCAGTGGAAAACAGTGACATATTCGAGGACATCTATCAAACGGTGGATGAAGCCAAGGCAGCAGCTGAGCAAAAAGTGGCTGAGGCCACTAATGCCGCGCTCTTGGCTGATTATGAGTCCATAGCTGGTTCCTACGAGCACACTACACCTGCAACGATCGGCGTTAGCCCAACCCATGCCGGCAAGCCTTTGTACGATGGCTATGAGATTTGTGAGCCACCACCCGATACACCACACATGCTGGCCAACACTACCTTAACAAATGCTGATGCCACTGGCAGTAGTGTAATTCCCAAGCTCACCCAACAGATCTCAATGGGTGGCAGTAATGTGCGCAACACCAACGATGAACTGCCCGAGCTGCCTAAACCGAAACGTCGTCTGCCCAAATCGCCCATGCCAGGCAAGCGTTCACCCAAATCTACAGCCAAAACGTCCTCCTCTATACGGGAAATAGTGAGGACGGCCTCCAGCAGAGGTTGCAGCAAAAGCAGCAGCAATAGCACCATAACTGCTTTGGACGATCAGGACGATGACCATCACTACTATGCTGATGATGAGAATATCTATGACACCATCAAAGGTTCACATTGCTACGAATCATTGCATGCGGCCAGCATCGCTTTGCAAAAGTCCGCCAGCGCTGTGACGAAATGCGGCAGTGATAATATTTCGCTTACATCCAATTGTTACGAGAGCATCTCGCATTATCGGCGCGCTAGTCACAGTAACGGTGGTGGCAGTCATCTGACCGGCAGCAGTAGCGGTTCGACGCTCACCATTTCATCGGATCACAAAACGAATAGTTTGTACGAAATGTCGGTGACGGCGAGCTTAATCTACGGCACTGGCAGCGTAGGCTCTAGGCAATCGGTAGCGGAAAAGACAAACGCGATCATAAGCGGACGCATTGGCGGTACCCATAATAGTGTGAGTGATGAAAATAGTGATGTGCCTGCTGGTGCGAAGAGTTACTCTCAGTCGCATGGTGGTGCGACGAGTGATAATAGCGATGAATGGGTGGATATATCAGATCCCGAGGCAGAGGGAGCGGACAAGTTGGTGAAGCAGCAATTCATTGTGTGAGTGTTAAAAGCTTTTTATTGTCTTGTGATTTATGGATTTAGGATTTTATTGCTATGTATATTAGTTTCATATAAAGTGACTCAGTTTTGGTTGATAAAAAAATATGCAAAAAGAGCCTACAAACAATAAATTGATGCTATTTAAAAACCGAATTAGGCTTTGGTGATTTTCAGTGCACTGGCTGCGAAAAAAGCAAGCACGCCACTACCTTATCTTATCGGCTATTGTTTATGTTTATTGCGCACATGATAATTTTATTCGAAATTATGTACCCGTTTGTAAATGTACCTTTGTCTTCATTACTAACCAATATTATATACAGTGACTCAAACAAATGGCCACATGTTGCATTTTTTTTTAAATATTTATAGTGTTTTTAATATTCGATATGTTTTTCCAGCTAAATTTTTTGTTATTTTTCTATAAAAATACCTTCCAAGCTTTAACCAAAACCAAACTTTATACAAAATTTAGTAAATTTTGATCAAAACTTCAATATTTTCATATTTTTGGGTATTCAGTTTTATAGCCCACATAATCTTAGTCTAATGAAATGCAAGTTTCAAACGGCTAAAATAGTCCGCTGATTTTTGAAAAATTTTTTTCAACGGATTTTTGCGATTTTTTCCATATAAGCATGTATTTCTTATTAAATAAAATGCGGGAGACTGTTAGCAACAAAATTTCAAAACAAAAATCAAAAGCAACGCCAGTTTTTGTAAATAGCACTTGTTTAATATAAAAAAAAAAACACGAAAAAGTAGTCTCAAAAAAAAATTTAAAAAACAACGCGATTTTTTAGTTTGAACCTTGCACTTCATTAGACTAAAATTGTATTGACTATAAAACTGTATACCCAAAAATGTTCTAGAGATTCGGATTAAAAAGTGGAAATTTTGATGAAAATTTGTTAAATTTTCCTAAATTTTGTATGAAGATTGAAACTGTGATTTATATGTTTTCGGACAATGCTTGGACGGCATTTTTATAAAAAATGTTGCTCGAAAAACACTACAAATATTAAAAAAAAAAAATCAATACGTGATCATATGTTTGAGTCACTGTATATCTAAAGTATATAATCTTTTTTTTTATTAAAATGCATACACAGATATTTTAATTATGCATACATACATAATTGTTTCCTTAAATGCAAATAACAATTAATCATCCCTAACTATTTTGGTATGGTTTTCACCAATGTAAACATTCTGTAATGAAAATTAGCTTTTTAGATAAAGATATCTATTTAGTTACATATGTGAATACATATACACAAACAACATGCAATAGGTTTAAATAGTACAAGGTTATAAGCTGATAGGGCACCTGGCATATCGTCGTCGTCATTACAAAACACACTAAAGGGTGATTTCGAAATTTTCAGAAGAATCAAAAATCTTTTCAAAATTACAAAGAAAATTCCTTTTACGTTTAACGTTCCTAATAATTCTTCAATTTTTAAATATATTTTGCAAACCCATAAGAAGTAACTTCAACCTTTTATTAGACGGCTTCCGGGTTAGGCAGAAAGCATGCTGCCAGGAGACTGATTCGCAGTCTGCTAAGGGTAGGACACTCACGTAGAATATGCTCCACTGTCTCCTCTTTCAGTCTACATCCCCTACAGACCTTATAATTGGTCTGAGCCAGTTTAAAGAGGTAGTATGCCAACAGGAAATGTTCCGTTAGAACACCCACCAGTAGCCTAGCATCCTCCATCTTGAAGGATGGGAGAAACTTCGTGAGCTTTATGTCATACGATCCGCACATATACCTTGCAACCTTGAGTTTTGGTCCATGCCTTCTGCCTTCGGAAGACCATGGACAAGCCTAGCTCCCGTTTAATCGCTTGGAGGCAAATCGGTACTTCTGCTTCTTCTTTGGCAAGGCAGTCGGCCTCCTCGTTGCCTGCGACGCCGGTGTGTCCTGAAACCCAGTACAAATGCATGTCAGCATCAGTATGTAGCAAATCCAGAGCTCCGCTGCTCTCCGCCACACTTCTTGCGTCGGCCAGTCTGACTGTCGATATACAGATTCACCTATTTGTTCACTAGGTTGCTGCTTAGTAGCTCCACCGATCTCCTTATGGCCAATACTTTCGCCTGGAAAATGCTGCAGCAGTTCGGAAGCTTACAGGATTTGTTGAGACCGAGCTCTGCGCAGATGACTGCCGCCCCTACCATATTCCACCCGTCTGTCTAGACATTCACTGAGCCAGCGCCGCTCATGCCCTCACGTCAGCCCTCGACTACTATAGTGGCGAAAGGGAGTTATAGATCTTTTGGATTGCCCTTTACACTTCAGAGTAGGCCCTGTAGTGCTCCGCATTTCCCGAGAGTGTCAGCATTTTCATTGCCATCGAATATATTATGACCTCGTAACCATATTATGGGTTCCTAGTTTGTTTGGCTGTCCAACATGATGTTTATTGTAACATCATTAGTCCCTCTAAAAAGACATTCCCGGGCACAGATTTCAGTTATAACAATTTCCGCTTGAAGCACGGTTGGGAATATGCCAATTGGTAGACTGTTTTGAAATCTACAGTGGGGAGCAGAAATGAGTACATGTTGATTTTTGTTAAATATGTATATGCAAGGCTTTTAAAGTTAATTTTTTGTTGTTATTTTTTCATAAAAATATGGTTCATACTTTAACCTAAACCATATAAATCAAACTTACAAATTTTATACAGAGCTTAGAAAAATTTAACAAATTTTCATTAAAATTTTGAGCTTTTTAATCTGATTTTTTAGAATTTTTTTGAGTATGCATTAAAGTTTAGTATAACAAAGTGTAAGTTTTAAGCGGCTCCAAAATTGTTTTGATTTTCAATATATTTATTTGCAAGTACATATTTATTTGTTACAGAAAAAGGCCCAATTCGGACATTAAAACACACACATTTAATTTGTACATAGAATATAGAAAAGTCAAAGAAGTTGGATTTAGTTTAGTTGAATACCTAGATCTTTTTTTTTACAACCGCCTGTTGGTTTTGAACGCGATTAAACAATTTCGCCGAATATCTCTTTAAGTTTTTCCATTTGTTCGCTCCAGAGCTACATATATAGGTTCTTTTGCACGTGGCTCAACTATTGTTTAGGCGCACTATTGCTTTCGTTTTTTCCCCATTGATGCCAAGCCGAAGGATCTTTTCACCGGAACATCATCAACCATGCGTACGTCGCGTCCAAGCCAGCGCAATCTTTTGGTAATTCCAAGCCATTATCCATCTTCTTCACATTTCGTCGTCGCTTACGCGAACAAGGCTATATATCTACAATATCCAAAAATTCAATGATCCGAAAAATTTATTGACAAAAACTACGCCTCAAAGTTCAATGACCTCTGCATGCTTTCCATGCAGTTTCAAAACTGCAACTCACTTAAATGCCTGACAAGTGCTAAAAGATGTTCACAAATTCATTTCAAAGGCCTTTCTTTCATTCGCACATAACAGTCAAGAGTTTTGTAATAATTAACCAAGTCTGTCTGTCCATAAGCAGAATACGCAATTAGCCACACAAACAATTAAACTGTTACTCTCCATTAATTTACTTGAAGAAAACGAAAGAAAACACAGAGTAAACGTAGGCAATGAGAAAAAGCAAGTCATTGACAACAGTTGAAAGGTTTCTTTCTTTTATGCTAACTCGCAGGCGGGAAAATAGTAATGTTCTTTGTACTTGGTTATACGTCATATGTAGTATAGTGCGTGCTAAAAATAAAGGTACTTAATTTCAAAAAAAAAAAAACTCACCAACTTTTAGTGGCATAAACGGCTTAATACGATCTTAATAAAATAAAACAAGTTTGATATTTAGATGTCACTAGGAAATGTACGGCCAATATAAAAATTGTGTTGAAAAGCCAAAGAAAGGAAATAAAATAAAAATTCTTAGTTTAGGTTGAAGTAAACTGAAGAGCGATACTATATGGAATACTAATCGCTTTCAATGTTATGAGCTTAACTCTTCGTCTTATTTATATCAGTGACAACTCTGCGAGGAATTCATTAAACGTTTAGCCAAAGCAAGTGCAATCTTCTTCTATGAACTTCCAGCTACAACTTGGGTCCAATGCATCAACCTTCATTTAGTTTTATAACATGCAAGCCGAAATTCGTTTCACAGGACGAAATAGTTGTACCCTTCCATTGGCTAAATGCGCCTTGTGATCTCTTAAACATCGTTTAAATGGGGAAATTGATATAATTACCGTATTCTTTCCGGAAAGGATGTGGTCGATTCTCATCCATAGAATACTGGACGTAATCAATTTCAGGGGTCTACTAATCCATTTCATGCATAGAACACCTATTACAACTTTTCATAAGTGCAAAAGTAATGTTACTAAATTTTGTCTCATCTTGAAGCTACAGGCACCGTAAAAATATACTTTAAGATCTCTACAATAAATGGCCTTAGCTTCTTCGCAGGAAAACTCTATTTTTGCATGTGCAATACTTTCCGTAAAAAAAAAAAAAAATCTCGCAACAGGCTTGTGTAAGGGTAAGTTTGGAGTCGAAAGGGACAGCCAAAAGTAATAAGTAAGTAAATTAAATACATTCTGGGAACTTAATGTTTTATTCAAACAGTTACGACTACTTTTAGAACAACCTGTAATAACACCAATTAAAACGAACAATGAAGCTTATGCAATTCTGTTTGAGCAATGCGCTGTGAAGGCGAATTTTTGCCATTCATTAGTAGCAGCACAAAAGCAAAGCAAAGAGCATACTTTCATATAAGTTGTTTGTGTATGTACATATGTATGTATGTAAGTAAATGCAAGTATTCATCGATCGCACTGCATATGCCTGCCAACTCCACATTTTGGATTCTTTCTCAGCTCAACTTTTTCTGCCCTCAGTCGAATTTATATCTACCATATTCGCACAGAGTTCCACCAAAATCGATGACATACATATATGTACCAGAGAACAGCTTTGAGTATGATCGAGCCTTTTTGATCACACTCACTAAAAATCAAGCGAACGCCACACTCGGCTACTATGTGTTCGATCGAGATGCATACCCGACAGCTGCTTTGGTTACGAACGAGTCTGTTCGATCACCCTCGCTATAAATTGAGCACAAGCGAACACCACACTCGGACACCCGCAGCTAACCCGAAAATTTGTGTAACAATGAAACGGACACCCGAACATTGCGATAAAATGCAGGACAACAAAGAAATTTACGCTGAAGGTAACTGGCGCCAATATGTTCCCACAAAGCATACGAAAATGTTGTTGCTTTGTGCTTGTGCATACGCAATGAAAAAATTAGAAGCGAAGTAGACAAAAATGTTTTTGCATCTATTTCGTATAGTTTCGCGTGGAAAGCTGTGTGTGTATATATTAGAACACAGCCTAAAACTATGTAGGTACATAAGTACTTTTACAAAAAATAAATGTGCACCGAGTGTATAGGGCTTGGGCATTGCCGATCTACACACATTTATACCTAAATGGATGTAGGCGTCGTGATGCCGCATTTTGTATGAGCAAAAATATAAGAAATGGTTAAATGTACACTTAAACAAACTACCGAAAAATTCAACCTTCTCTTTACCCTCTACGCACAAAAACTAAGAACACCGCGATGAGAAGGCAACATTTTTTGTAGAAACAAAAACGTCATAAGCCAATCAAGAAAATTTTGTGCACACTCGGGTTGAAACTCGAACACCCGGGTATATTGAGCTGCAAAGCACCCGAACCCAATCAAGTATGTATGAAAAGCAATCGGGTGTTGTGGCCAACATGTTCGTCTTGAGCTCAGTCGATAACGAACAATACTTCTGCTCGTATACAGAGAACGATGCAAAACGGGTTTTGTTAGATGATCGAGTGTACACGAAAATCATGCACCCGCTGCAGATGTCTGATATGTACATGTTTATTTGTTTACTTTGCCGCCACTCAACCTCACCCTACCAAATTGAATATTTTAGGCGCATCATTCTTCTTCCCCATTGCGCCGTGCTGACCTAGAAAGTTAAGCTTTGCCATACGCCGCCGGCGATAAGAAAAAGTGCCATTACCCTCCAGTGAAAAGCCAAACCAGTTAGCAAAAAATACTAGTTCATTAACTAGTATGAGCCTACCAGTTCGACAATTTCGATCAGCGACATCTGCCTTTGAATTGCCAAAGCCAAAAATAAAACGCAATTAATTGCTTTTCTTACAAATGTCGGCTGTGGCGTCACGTGAAGACTACTGGTTCTGGTTCTGAAATCGCAGGTTCGAGGCCGCTTGGAGGTGGTTAACATTTTTAAAGTTAAATAAATGTAAGTAAAAATAATTTATTCATTTTATAAATAAATAACAAATTTGAAAATCTAATTGCATTGCAAAAAAACATTTAGGAAGAAATATAAAAACAAAGAAATTAAACACAAATATTTTTTTTATTCAATTTAAAAATTACAATAAACAGCATAAACAAAAAAATAAATTTATGAGAAATAAAAATAAAATAAAAAATAGAAAAAAAAATTTTCCCTGCGCCAGGATTTGAACCTCGGACCTCAGGCTTACCACGCGAGTGCTCTGCTCTGTCGGCCATTGTGACTGCTGGAGCGTCGCGAGCAAAAAGGCACACTTATGCCTTTCACGGGGCATGAATTGGCAGACTATCTCATCAACTGGTATGATGCTACTAGTATTTATACTAGTAGATGCTGATGCATAGCCTGACAATTGACATCTCGTAGGACATCGCAATGTTAAAAATACCAGTCGCTAACATTGAAAAAGGATAGAACGTGAACTAGTTCGGCTGAAACGCTAACCGGTAGAATTCTAGTTCACAACTAGTAGCTTTCCCTGCAGGGTATTTCCAAAGTGTGGAAAAATAGAAAATCGTTTACTGGTACTTACATATTTACACACCTCTGCATATTCCCATACATCATCCACATTTTCACATACATACATACATATTTATTCAACAAATAAACGACGTTCTTGAGTTGTCACATTGTGCAATGCAAAAGATACGACGAGCCGGGCGTGGGTTAACAAACATTCACTTTGTTATTGTTGTTGATGTAAAAACAAAATTGATTGATGGTTGTAATTGGAAAATTTCATTATGAATGCCTTGGTTTTGAGATAACGAAACTGTGCCACATTCCAATAGAAAATGGTTGATATTCGTGGTCTACTTATTTGCTAATACATTTTACAACATCTCTATTAACAAACGCACATATGTATGTATATAGTACTTAAAGATAAGAATGTATGCACTTTGTAAAATATACACACTATCATTGAATTTATTAAATTAATTTTTATTTATTTTTTTTTCCCTTTGCAGCGTACGAGAACGCTCCAAGGCGCATCGTAGTCCGGATTGGTCAAAACGTGTTAGAGATAAGCGCTTACATCAAAAGAAAGCGATAAGTTGCATTGAAGGTGAGTTGATTACGATCGTAATTTCATAACTGTGGGAATTTTATTCTATAAATTTTATTTTGCAACTACATATATTAAAGTGTAAATGTGGAATCAATTTTTGAAGGTGATTCACAGTTAATGTCACGAAAGTAGATCGATTTGTAGTTCAGGAGGAAGTACCTCAGAATACAATATAACTAGTAATAGCCTCAGAAATTCGGGTGAACGCAGTAATGAAATACGTACTAATATTGAGTATTTATATTTAAGTAAAAAAAAAATAAAAAAAAAATTCATGTATGTACCTCAGTATTTAGCTCAACTTCTTGAAAGACAACACCTTTAAACTTGTATTGAAAGAGGCCTGAGAAACCAAACCAAAAATTTTTTAAGATAATGAAGGACCTTACTCTACGCACCGTACGTACGTACGTATAGTGAACCGTGAGTCAAAGGGTCACCTTTAATTTATAATCAAACCTTCCACAATGTCAGTCCAAGAGCTTTATTAGTCAGATTTGCAAACGCAATTATTACTGAAAATAAGCGCCATTCTATGGCGAAAAGGCATTTAGTTTTATGCTTTGCAGTAAAGCTTCTTTCTTAACCCTTTCAGCATTACCATGTTCATTAGATGGCCGCTTGGCTGTCCGAGAAGATGTTAATCGTAGTCTTCGTTACGGCATGCGTACTAAGGTAAACAGCCACCTCCTTTATAGCTAAAACTTCTGCCTGATGAACACTGCAGTGGGCCGGAATTCGGACGGATAGTTCCAGTCCTAGTTCCTTACAGAAAACTCCGTAGCCAATCCAATTGTCAAGTTTGGATCCATCCGTGTAAAAATTCAATTCCTCCCCTTCTCCATGGTCTTAGTGTTTGCCATTCTCTTCTTGACGGGAAGCTCGTCTTAAAGAGCCTATCGAAGGTTGGTTCAGGGGCGGAGTAGTCAAATACTTGGTCATAACTACCCAGAGGGTGAAGTATGCATGCAGGCATGTTCCCAGAACCAGAACTCTTGCACGAGCAGTCAGTATCGTAAAACTTCTTAAGCCTCTCAATTACCTCTCTCCTTTACGAGTTTGCGAGAGTTGCAGGTCCTTTAATTTTATTTGTGGGCGCCCTTGATTTCATTGTCTGCTCGTAAAGTTCGTTATTCCATCTTTTTCGGTACTTATCGCCCACGCGAACGGTGCCATAAATCTTGCTTAGAATAGTTCTCTCGAAAACCGTCCCATCTTTTTTCGACATCGTCCATGTTTCTGCGCCATATAAAACAACGCACATTAAGAGAGACTTGTAGAGCGTGATTTTGATTCGTCGAGAGAGGGCTCTGCTTTTCAATTGCTTACCGAGCCCAAAGAAGCAGCTTTTGGCAAGAGATATTCTTCGCTTCATCTCCATGTTTATATTATTAGTGGTGTCCTTCCCTACTTCAAAGTTATAGCTGCCAACAGTGACGTATGTTCCAAAACACAAGGACTCTTTATATTTTGCCAGGACGTACTCTGTCTTACCCTCATTCACCGCCGGGCTCTTTAGCCCCTTTTTCTAAACCGGAATATGTTGCGCTTACGTCGCTTAGTTTCAGGTCGACGATATCACCTGCAAAAGCTAAGGAGAGTTGAAGCTGCACAGGATACCAGGTACGAATACCAGAAAAATCTGAAATTTTTACAACCCAATCTTCAATAAGAAACAAATTAAAACGGTCCAAAGGGTGGCGTGTATGCTCATCACGGGAGCGTTACTATCGACGCCGACTAAGGCCCTAGAGATCTCGCTTCACTTTCTAGCTGTGGACCTATATGGTAAACTACAGACAAGCTGTAATGCTATTAGATTAAATGCATTAATCAAATGGAATGGTTTGGGCACTCTAGAATTTTGGAAGATCTTCCAGAAGACTTTAGGTACCAGCCTACGGGACTAAAGAATCACTTCCAGACAAGGATCCCCTCAAGGGAAGAATGGGAGGAGGATTCGGTCCTGAACTCGTATTCTGACTCAACAGCCATCTACACTGATGGCTCCAAGTTGGGTCTGAAGCTAGGAAGTGGGTTATACTCGCAAGAGCTCTCACTTAGCCTTAGTTTTCGTCTGTCAGATCTATGTAGCGTTTTTCAGGCTGAACTAACAGCAATAAATGAAGCTGCAAGTTAGCTGATCGATTCTCTAATTAATCTGAAGGCGGTAAAAATATTTTCTGACATCCAAGTGGCTATTAAAGCACCTCATAGTGACAAATCTACGTCGAAGATTGTTATGGAATGTAGACGTACTCTTAATGAACTGGCGAGATGCTACGTCACTAATGTTGTATAAGTGCCAGGCCACAAAGACATACCGGGAAACTGTACTGCAGATGAACTAGCAAGGGAAGGAACCTTGTTGTCTGCAATCAGTACAGCCCGTAATGCGGGCATTCCGCTATCTTCTTGCAAGCTCTGGCTAGACAATACTTTTGTCGGACGGGCTAATATAAGATGGTCTGCGGAGCCTAGAGACATATCTGGCCTAAGCAAGACAATAGTAGATCTCGCCCTCTCCTCCACTTGGAGCGACCACTGCGGCATGTTATTGGAGTTCTCACCGGACATTGCCTGATGGGAACCCACGCCACTTGAATGGGTTTGCAGTCGAACGACTACTGCTACGAAGCTGGTTCCATTTCGAGGGTAAGCGGAGGGATATATGGAGTCTCTCACAACGGGCCCATGGTGGCCTAAGGACACTGTGCCAACTATTCATGAAGAAAATTTCAGAGTGCGGTCGCCTCGACTTAGGGTTTTTATTTTTTAACTTCTTCTATATGCAGTATTAATTTGGTAGTTTAAGATATTTTTTGGCGCCCACGTCATTTTTACTACACTATTTGTTCGATCGATTTTCGTGTACATTAAACCAAACTTTCAGCTGTTAAGACTCTGTTAATATTGTTTTAATTGAGCGCTGCTTAACATACCTTCCACAAATGAAAGCTTACAAAGCTTTTATAACAGTATGTATTTAACAAACCCGGGCTTTAAGCTCATTTGTAAGCCAAGTTCATAGATGTTCATATTAGAGGGCTGCATGAATGCATTCAAAACGGCTTATGAATTATTCATATACAAAACGGATGAATGATTTTGGCTTAAAATTTTTTTGAATTTGGGTGAATAGCTGTTCTGATATTTGTGTGGACATTACAACATTCAAACAAAGTGAAAATAAATTGAATTGAAATAAATGACAATTTTTTGTATGAATATCCAAAAATATTTTTTCTATGCACAATGTACAAACATACATATGTTTGTATGTATGTATTGCTGCGCTCCTATTACATACGAAAAACTTGTTTGCAGAAAAATACTTTTACCGAAATGAGTTTGAATGATTTGGATGTTTTCCATTCATTCATTTACATTCTTCCATTTGAAGGTAGAAAATATAAAACAAAATGTATATTCATAACATACAAAATTCCAAAAACCGAGTGTTTTGTATGTGAAGTAAAATATTCAAATCTACTGCACTCTGTTTGGCTAGAAGTTTGAATGAATTCATGCAGCCCTCTAGTACATATGTATGTAACTTTGTATATTTGTAGCAGGCACTATTTTAATTCGCAATCGTATTTGAACTGCGAGGCACGATTTGGTATTATGTTACTTAATTGGCGATAAGTCACACAGAACATAAATGGTAACAGCGATTTTTTTTTTTTTAATTCGGGGCAATGTGATTGCAACATAATGACAAATGCAGTGTGAATAATACAAAAAAGGAGAAAGCAATAAACTCATAAATGGCGAGGTGCATAAAAATGCAAGTTTAGGCGGAGAAAAAAATAAACAACATATAATACGAATACTTACCCACTAATGGATACACATACATATATATGCCTGTATGTTTGACTTGTAGTACAAACCAGTGTTTGCCCGTCGTTACGGACGTGCACAATGAAAGTGAAAGAGGAAAGGTCATAAAAATAATTTATAAAAATCATTAAAAAAAATTCCTTATTTTAACCTGCTGAGCTTTTTCAACCACGTTTGCATCGTTAAAATATCTGTAAGCATTAAAACATATCATTTGCAATATGAGCATAATAGCTATTAAGCCCAGGTGGCGGACATTAGCCAAAGCATCGCGTCATGACGCAGATTACCAACCCAACCCCGTGTAGATGCAGACAACGAGAGTGAGAGCGTAAAGATCAACATCTGAACTGAAATGGCAGCGACACGATCAGATAAAACTTAGGCATATGTATGTATATACATTAGGGCGGGTCAATTTATATGGGGGATTTTTTCGCCTATGTGAAGAAACCATGAGTCTCTTTTAAACTTTCTATATACATTTTGTATAGGCGCGTGCAGAGTAGAGGCTCTCTATGCCCATCGCTGGTCTAACATCAATTTGGAGTTTGCCAAATTGCGAGTAGTGTCGTAAAGAAGTTTCTAATTTTATATAAATAAGGGGTTTTTTGGTATAAGGAATCCTTTTATGCACTTATCTTTTTCTTAAAACTTCCACCAGAGGGCGCAACAATGAACAATTTCACTTTTTCTTCGAAACCTTTTTTCGCAATTTGGCAAATTTGCTTAGAACTAGACGTAGAATCCTCTTATGCTAAACGCGCGTAGCAAAAAAAATTGGCCCGCCCTAATGTACATATGCATATGATATGGTTGGCTTAACGGCTGACGTGATAACTGACTGCTTTGCCGCACAGAATGAGCATTTGACTTTGAAAATGAAATCATATGTATGTAGTTATACGAGTACATGAGATGCCTACTCAGCGTACCTTACATAAATGTATACATATTATGTATGTATAATGTGACAAATCGCATATAAAAATTACCATAATCAAGTTTTAAGTTTTAAATTTCAAGCATAGTCGTAAAAGCTTTGTTTTGTACTTATGTACGTGTGCATTTACAAATGGAGAGCAAGCACAATTCGCTTGGAGCCTGTGCACGATCAGCAGAGAGCTGAGCGATCACTAAAGCATGAAACGCCATTTGATCTCCCTCTGATAGCTTTAGT